TGCTGGATAAGTTGGCGGTTCATTCCGCTGTGGCGACCCCGGATTAATAAAGGGATTAAGCCGACAAGAATGAAAATAAAAGTCCCACATACATAATACATAAAATATACGCTTAAATTAACTGAGGGGGGACAATTATCACTGCTGTCTCACTAGAAAACGTTTGGCTTATCAAATGCAGCCTGAGGCGTGCAAATAATGATTTCAGAGCTTTTTTTGAGATGTCAGAGCTGCATATAAAGTCGTGTTCTCTTGATGACATTAGGTCATTCATCCGGACCTGACGAGCAGCTAAAGTATGCACACATGCAAATGCAGAGGGCGTGGCCTGTGAGTCTCATCACAGTTTGTTCTGTCTTCTGATTGGCTCGTGGGGTTTTACATCTGTGGAATTTACATGAGAATGAGTAAACAGTGGTGTCTGAGGCTCGCTGTATGCCCATCTGCATGGACAGATCTGTTTTTATTTTATATATAATGTTTATAAACAGACATATATGTAGTACAAACCGTACAAATATTACGTTTTTTATTACTATAAGGAAAACATTAATTACATTTAATATAGTATAACAAGGGGGAAGTGTAGTTGTTGCTATAAGGGATACAACTGTGGCTGGAGGTTAATGATAATTATTTATATTATTGATTAAATAATTTCCCCCACAGTCCAAACACACGCGCTATGGGGGAACTGATCAACTAAACTGGCTGAAGTGTATGAGTGTGTGTGAAAATGAGTGTGTATGGGTGTTTCCCAGTACTGGGTTGCAGCTGGAACAGCATCTACTGTAAAACGTATGCTGGAATAGTTGGCAGTTCATTCCGCTGTGGCTACCCCCAATGCATAAAGGGACAAAGTGGAAATAAATTGATGAATGTTGTTGAGTGTCATAAAAGTGTCCGTTGCCGTATCCCTTCTAAACATTACCTAGTGTCCGGCAGCTGTATCCTTTTCTAGATATAGTAGTGATAGAAGGTAGTAATAGACTCTATCAATGCCATGCAGTGTGCATTTGTTTCACTGTGTGTCTGTGTTGTGTTTGCTTCCACTGCGCCCTCTGCTGGTGTGTGCTGGACCTGCAGGAACACACTGGCCAACAGCTGCGGGACTGGGATCCGCTCCTCCACCAGTGACCCCAGCCGAAAACCACTGGACAGTCGAGTGCTGAACGCCGTCAAACGTAAGTCACTGATGTCCACGTCACCACTGCACACTGAAATACATGCTTTCTATTACTCTTGCCTGATTGCCTCATAATAATGCTGCAGTAGAATATATATCATAGTATTTACAGCATACTGTAGTGTCAACTGTGGTGAATTGATCAACTGTAATAAATACTGTAGGATATTTTAGTTTTTACCGCAGTAAACTGGGGTGTGTTGTAGTATAATAATTGTATAAAACTACAGTATTGGCTCATTTGCTTATATTAGTGTTGTTGTTGTGTTACCATATCAACTGTAGAATCACCACAACAGATCTATTACTGTAGTTGTTGTGTTACCATAGCAACTGTAGAATCACAACAGATTAATTATTATATACCAGGGGTCACCAATCGCATTCCTGGGGGTCCGGTGTCCCTGCAGGGTTTAGCAACTTGCCTCAACACACCTGCCTGGGTATTTCAAGTATACCTAGTAAGACATTGATCAGCTTCTTCAGGTGTGTTTGATTAGGGTTGGAGCTAAAATCTGCAGGACACCGGACCCCCAGGAATGAGATTGGTGATCCCTGCTATATCTGTTGTGTTACCATAGCAACTGTAGAATCACCTCAACTGATCAATTACTGTAGTTGTTGTGTTACCATAGCAACTGTAGAATCACCACAACAGATCAAAAACTATAGTATTTGTGTTACCATAGCAACTGTAGAATCACCACAACAGATCAATTGCTGTAGTTCTTGTGTTACCATAGCAACTATAGAATCGCCACAACAGATGAATTACTGTAGTGTTTGTGTTACCATGGCAACTGTAGAATCACCACAACAGATCAATTACTATAGTATTTGTGTTGCCATAGCAACTGTAGAATCACCACAACAGATCAATTACTGTAGTGTTTGTGTTACCATAGCAACTGTAGAATCACCACAACAGATCAATTATTGTAGTGTTTGTGTTGCCATGGCAACTGTAGAATCACCACAACAGATCAGTTACTGTAATAAACACTTGTGTTTACTATAAATTACTGTACCTTTGGTGTCATGTGAGTGAACACTTACACTTAATTTAAATGATGTCTGAAATCAACACTATATTTTTACTTGCCTCAAATGTTTTTTGATTTAGGAACTTTCAGATATTTGGACTAGACAGACACTCTAAGTAAGACACACACTTGTTAGCGGTGTATGCAGAGCTCCTCTTAATGAACACACTCTCTCTCTGTTTCTCTGTCTGTCTCCTGTAGTTTACTGTCAGAACTTTGCTCCCAGCTTTAAGGAGAGTGAGATGAACGTGATCGCGGCTGACATGTGCAC